CTTCAGCCCCATTCCAAGATCCTAACTCGTGGACTGTTCGTATGTTCGTGAAAGATGAACAGATATGTACATATCTCATATTCTGAAGATGAACCGAGGTTGGGGTCTTCGGGCTTGCCAAATCTTGGCCACGGTATTCGCATCTCATTTCGCGCAGCTCTTTCAAGGCAAGACTTCGGATCCCCCCAAGCCTTTTGGACGTTGCTCATAAAGCCCGAAGTCACTCGACACTGGCCCTGCAACCAAGCGCGAAATGCCGTCCGAACCTTCGCCCCAAAAAACCAATGCCGAGTTGCAGGATGCCCTTCCTTGAGGAACCTTGAGAAGTGCAGTGCACAGGGATGCGGATTCGATGTTGTTAGCAGCACGACTCGAGTCATTCGCGTCGGGGTCGAAATTTAGAATTCACGTCCGCAACAGCTCCAGCCATTCTGCGAGATAGATGCGGGTGCTGCGCCACGGGGTGGTGACCCGCAACCAGACGTTTGCAAACTTCTCCAAAGAATACCCTTAAGCTACGTAGAACACCTGCACAAGGTCCAAAGAAGCACCTGCACCAAGCTGAGCACAACATGAAGTGCAATCGACTCACGTCATGCAGGTGTGAACAAAGCAACTTGTGCAACAAATACTACATGGCACCTGAAAGCCAAAGGCCTCCTCTCAACCTCTCACAATTTCTCAATGATTCGGCGCGGCCGGCCCTCCCGGACTATTCTCTCAGCTTGGGGGCTCCTTGACCTCCCACGTCAGTCGACGGATGGACTCCGCTTCGGCCTGTGGTGTGGGAAGCTCTTGGAACCGTACTTTCCTCTCTCTTTGAGTGCACGGGATCCCACGTAAGTATGGCGCGGGAAAATGGGCCAGTATGGGGGCTTGATGGTACATGTTGGTGCTCTTGGAAGCACCATCCATGGCCATGAGGCTGGGTAGGGCTGAGCGTGGTGACGCAGCGTGACACAGCCGACATTAAAGAGTCGCACTGGAGAATGGTGCCAAGGGTCGCTCAGCGCAGGATTCAGCGATGTGCAAACCACTCAGAAAGGTGCCTCTTCATCATCGGTGTCGGAGTGGCCTTGCAAGGAATCGAGAATGGGACTTGAGGTCCAGGGAGTCCAGGGTTTCTGCTCAGAGCTCATGAGTTCAGTACCTGCGTAAGACACGAGTGGCACGAATGGATGCAGAGGAATGGCCTGGGGGACCCTCTGCGGAGGCCCGACTGCCGGCATGGGTGCTCTGCGCCGGCGAAGAAGCCTTGATCGACCTCCAAGTTGCCGTGGGTGCTTAGGGCCTTTAACGTTAGAGTCGTTAGAGCCAGAGCACGGCAAGATGGTGGTTCAGGGGCCGTTGTGTACTGGATGAGCTCAGCGCCTGCCCACAATGCCTCCCTGCAGCACTCAAGACCCCGAATGTTAGTTTAAAGTTAAGGCTTGCTCTCTCTCTCTCCCTCCTTCCCTTCCCCTCCCTCTCCCTTCTTCTTCTCTCTCTTGTTTTATTTCTTTCTGGGGGCGTGGGGCCCCCGGGCGTCATCGCCCGCCCCGTGTTCGGGCCGTTCCGGGAAGACTTGGAGGCGAATCCCTGCAGCTCACGTCAGTTCCCCCCTCTTCATCTGAGTGCTTACCCCCCAGAACCCCTTGTCCCTCTCTCTCTCTCTCTTTCTTTCTTTCTTTCTTGGGCGGGGCTCGCCCGCCCCGGTATTCGGGGCCCCTCGGTTTTAGGCAGGTAGGGAGAAGGAACTCAGCCCCGCGCTTACGACTGCACACTACTCAACACTCTCTTTTTCTCTCCCTCTCTCTCTCTCTCTCTCTCTCTCTCTCTCTCTCCCTCTCTCTTTCTCTCTCCACTGTGTGCATTTTGCATGGTTTAGAGTCTTTGCCAAACTCCTGACTCCTGACTGATTCCCTGGTTGGCTTCGTAGACTTTCGCAGGGCAGCGGCCTCTCCAGATCAGAGCTGGTGCCAGATTCCGTCTCCTCCTGCATGATTCACACCCCTCGAAGTCTCGATAGTCCTGAAATTTATCCAATTTTCAGCAAGCTGCTAGCCTCTCTCTCCATCCTCAACCAAAGCCTAGAAGAACTGACGCTTGAAGGATGTGTCTGGAGGAATCAGCCAGGCAGTTGATACAAACCTTGAGCCCCAAACCTCGCATCATCAAGCTGTCAAGTCCTTCACCCGATGCCCTGAACATATGCGGCGTGGGGATACTTAAACTTTGAAGAGTCTGTGCATCCCGCGCTGTGTATACTGCAGCAGGATCATGATGAGAGATTGGGGGGTTGAAGTTGCAGACTAAGCACAATTTCATACAACTTCGGTGGGATGACGACCCTCCACCAGAAAGACCCCCTGCAACCTGGAAAGAACCCCTTCCCCAGAACCGCCCGAGCCTGGAGCTGGTAAAATTCCTGCTCCATCTCTTGCTCCTGCCAAAGCTCGCTAAGCTCATGCTGTGAAAGAAAAAAACTCGGCAGGCGCCTCATGCAACGCCTCAGCCTCCTCCAGGAGATCCTGTGCCTCGCGAAAACAGTTCTGGATCGTTTTGGGGCTTTCCGGCGGTGGGGTTTTCGTGCTTTTGGAGGTGATGGTTTTTTTTTGTAGGCTTCATTTCGTTCTCACCCTCCTCGGTGTTGCAAGTACAGGTTGACCAGGAAAACATCCGCCCAGGCCGCATCCGCTGACCAACACAAACACTGGCATTGCTACATACTCTCATTAACAGGCAGCAGATGCGAGGTGGGCCGACGCAGGTTTAGGGTTAGGAATTGGTTTCTTTTTTCCCCGAAGGTGGCTTGTTCGGATTGCCGTGCTTGGGGGTCTTAGGGCTTCTTAGGGGTTATGAGAAAGTTTACACCGCTTACAGCTGCAAGTTGGCAGATTTCTTGGAAACGTGCTGCATGCAAAGGGAAGGGACAAAAGCATCTATGAGACGAGGATGCTGAATGGATGCCAGTGGGAGGTTGCAAGCTTCACTTACAGGGGACGGGTTGGGGCCATCAGAAACTTCAGGCGTTGATCAAGACTTACACTGGGAAGGCAGGAGTTGAAGTTTCAAGCGTCATGGCATAGGTCTCAAAGCGTGGGGTCAGCCAAAGTGCCAAAGTTGCCAGCACTTGGTCTTTCAAACCCCCCCACAAGCTATGCGAGTGCTCAATTGCGACTCCAAAACTTCGTATGTCCCACAAGGCTCCTCCTTGCTGCATCCCATCTGCTCGGCCAGCGCAGCAACAGTGGCCTTGCTGAGAGAATGGCGTGAAGGCGAAACTTCAATCAGGCTTCAATGACGCAGGCTTGCCAGGGCGATCCGTGACCCATGCTTAATGCTGGTAGCGTCGGACAGTCTTGTCGAGCTTCGAGAATGGCGGCTGAACGGTGATACAGTAGAGTGGAAGCATTCCATCTGATGTCTTGTGCCGCCTGGCATATTCTCCTCACCTCCTCGCGTGCAACTAAAGCAACGAGCTTGATATCGTTTAGGCAAGCAGCCAGCGCGTTCACGTGCACTGAGTGCGTTCGCCTGTCATCGGCTTGGCATAGAAGGGCTGTCACGTGAAACAGTCGTACTGTCAGAGATTTCTGGATGAGGATCGTACAGCATACACCTACAAGTGCTTGCTCTGAGAATAGCCCCTAAGCATGCGGTCGCGACTGGGCAACCCCTCCGCGCCCTAGAAACTGCTCCGCATCATTGGCGAAGGCCACGGCGAGATCCAATGCTGCCTCGCATTTGCAGAGGTCATCTTAGGATGCCGTCTTCTTGCACAATGAGCAATCCCCAGTCTCATGCTCGAATCTATAGGGTCAAGTCAAGATCTAACAATGAAATTACTTCCGAAACGCTTCGCCCTCAATTCGCCCTCTTTGCCTGAGCGTCACCTGCTTGGTACAGCGCCACCGCCTGCAGTTGCCATCCGGGATAGTTGGACCCACGCGTATGAACAACTGATGAATTTTGAGGTTAAGCAGGACATCTTCGTTAGTCTTGGCTCTGGATTCTCTAAGCTGAGCAACGCGCGTGAAAACTGCATGTGTGGATGCCACATAAGACCGAGGCCGTCCTAACCCGCCTCTTGCGTCATGGCATCCAGGTCCAGCACAGGAAGCAGACCCCCAGGTGCCGAGACGGATCGCAATAGCCGTGGGGCCTGGGATTTGCTAGGTGGGATGGGTTTGTAGATGTTTGTCTGCACTCTAACACGTTTTGGAGGTCGTATTTCAGGGTTTGGAGGGCCGGGGGGGGGGAGGGGGAGGCTTTCAGCCCTTGCCTTGCACGGATTTCAAAAACGAGCCCAACGCGAAGACAGAGTTCGCACACCCCGTGCACAGCTTTTCATTTTGCATGAACCGACACAGAGAAGAAACACTGGAAAGACGCAGGCGCTGCAGGCGCCTAAGGTTTAAGTTCATGCCTCAGCTAAGTTCTGCTGATCGATGCAGCCAGCCTCTTCTTGATGCCGCCATGCGTGCACCACCTGCCAAGCTCAAGTGGCAGTGCGGCAAAGGACCCAGAGTGCCGATAGAAGCACGCTATACAAATGCAAACGGATCTTTGTCTGGTGCCCGGACTCAAGCCAATGCGTTGGTTACCGAGAATTTAGCAGCAAGTTGGGCAAGTCGGGGCAAACCTGTTCGGGGCGCGACCACGGTTTCCGAGACCCTGCTCAAGCCTCCGTGTCCGAGTGCGGCATGGCTGCAGCGCAAGGCTAAAGGGTTGGGGTCCGAGTGCGAGTGGGCTGAAGTAGGGCTTGGAGTGTGGGGTGAGAGTGCCCCGACCCCGCAGGCTAGCATTCTTGGCACTCTGTGTCGCATAAACTGATAAGCTCAGGCTGGTCAGAGTCCAGAGTCTTGGAGCAGGCTATATGGTTGAGATCCTGGTTGAGGGAAGCTCAGCATGTGGAGCCGAAACTGCAATCAAGGTGGGTCTTGACCCCCCCCTCCAACACCAAATGGCGCTCGATTCGTAGGGAAACACCCAAAAACAGCAAGCCCTCGGGCCACCGCTGCAGGCCGTCATCCTCACGGCAGCACTCCCGCCCAAACTGTGTCCAGGGAGTGCAGGGATCGTTGCCACAGAAGCAGCCTTTGGGGCTTAGCCCTAGGCTTTGGGTGTCCTCTTGAAGGTTGACAAAAAGCTATCCTCGCAAGTTGCTGTGCTGGTTTTTAAGAGGTTGTGTAGGAAGGCTTTTGGGGATCCGGATGGCTTAAGCCGGCTGAGGGTTCTTAGTTTGCAAAGCGAAAAGAGCAAAAAAACATTCCAGGAAGCACTCCTGAAGTCCTGCAACCCTCAATTATCCTCAATTCCCCAAAGCCCGTACTGACAAGGATTCTCTAGCTCCTATACGAGAACTAGATCCTGAAGTGGAGGTGAAGCCTGCAATGCAACTGCACAGCCCAAGAACGACAACATTAGCAGCACGTGTTCTCGGCAGTGGGGTTCTCCGTTCCCTGGGGTGGTTGGTGAGTGGAGCTTCCGCCAAACCTCTGATGCAAAGGACATACCCGACATTGTTTGTTGCAATGTCCCAGAACTCCGCCCAGCTGCCACACATCCCAGCCCTAAGCCCCACAGCGGAACAGCCATGAGGAGCAGACTGCCATCCAAGGATAAGTTCCTCACGCGGCAAGGAGCCTGGCGCGACGATTCTTAAGCACAAAGGGCCCTTGAAGGAACAGACACGCAACTCAAGTGGAATTGACGCACAAGTCTTGGAAGAATTCTTTGGGGGTAGGAGCCAGCTTCGCTTCCGGCGAAGTTCGGAAAATAAACCAGACATTATATAAAGGAGATTACGAAAAAGTGGCTGGCAGCCTTTGCGCCCAGCAAAACCCTAGAGCGTTCTGCTGAAGTTCTAAAGATTCCCAGCAACATCCAGCACCTACAGTGTTACTACAGGGCCCTGTTCCACCAAGACCCAAGGGGCCATGAGCTCGAGGCCGTAGGACTCCAACTTGTGGAGGCCGCCTCAAGGGTCGGAGAGTATTTTGGAGCTGGTGGTGGTTCAGCATTGAACCGCGGTAGGGCGCGTAGGTTCGTGTAGGTGTGGGCCACCAGCCCAATACCATCGTGCTCTCATCCAGCATGCTGTGGATTAGAAGCATGTGGAGTCGGTATTCCTTTACATGTCGTACCTGATGGCATCTCTAATCCAATACGCTATGCTAGAAGCTTAGAAGCCGTGCCAAATGAAACGCAAAATCCGTCGTCCTATTTTGCATTATGAGACGTCTGCCGTTCAGGCACAGCCGGCACCTAACCAGGTTTGGGTTAGCGGCCCACACCTCCTTTCACGCTCACCGGTTCCAAACTGGTGGCCCGCAGGCACTGAGGAGTTCAGTGATTTGGGACTCTACATCGGACCAGCTGTTGCAATGTCAAGCGGCTGACTCTGTGGGAGTTCGAGCTGCTGCGACTCCCATCGGTGCCGGGCATTGTGGGCACCGTGGCGCGGCGGCCTGGGCGGGAGACCTGCGCACGCGCGATTTCGTGGGCTTCTGTCCGTTTAGGCGACTATGCTCCCGGAGGCCCCAAAACCGAGGCATAATATTGTCTACAAGGTCTTGCCCGTGTGACCTCTGCATACCGCTCTGCAAGTCACCCCACCTGAGAACCTCCGATCTGCGCAAAGCCCCTGCCTGAACCCACCCGCCCCCAGCACCCGGCCAGCTCCCCGGCCACTAACAAGCCAGAACTGCACAAAGCGCCACTCCTTGGCAGCCGCTTGGATTTGGCGCTTCCAACTCAAGAAGAATCTTGTATGTGACTGCATGTGTTGTACAGTGCTTGAAGGCTGTCTGGAAGTTTGAGCGGCTTCGTGCATGAGTAGATGGATTGGTTATCGCTGGAGAGTGGATGGCGTTTTGAGAGGCTTTGGATGATTTCGGCTTTCGCGACCACCCTCGGCCCCGAACTTCAGAACCACGACACCAAATTTAACACCGCAAGGTCAATCAAGCCCTAAATCGAAAACAGCCCTGAACCATACAAACCAGACGCACATGAGATGGGTCCGGTGCAACTCTGATGTCAGGGAGCCGCGATGCAAGCTCCACACCCGCATCTTCTGGACGTCCGCCGAGCAGGAACCAAGGTAGCTCGATTTGCTTGCCCACCTTCACTGGAACTTATTTTGGGCAGTGTGGCGCCTGGCCCTAGTTCTCAGAGCCGTGATCGATCGGCAAAACTTTTCTGTACGTGCCGGCCTATGTGGCCCGGACGGTTTGCATCTGAGACACGCAGGCGCGCGTCGACAATAGAAGGTCCAGCCCGGGGAAAATCTTCTGACGACCTCAGGGAAGCATTCTCTGAATCGGTACATCAGCACCGTCAAGCCCTGAAGTCTTAGGAGCTGCACTTCGCATGCTGAACTCTCAGGCCAAGGCCTTGGCAGCACCCCCCCCCCCCCCCACCTGACCTTGTCAGCTTCCCGAAACACAAAATATGACCCTTGGGCCCAGCAAAGCTTAAATTTCTTGAAGTCCCTGAGCGAGTTGATAGGTAACCATACCTACTAGTGACTAGTGCGAGGGGCAGGTTCCCGCCTCCGGCACTCTCTGGTAAGGCCAGCTGCTCCTCGACCCATTGTCGGACCTCATCCCAGGTTGCTTTGCCTCAGTTCGGCCGTCAAATTTGGCCTGTCGTCATGCCCTAGATTTACCTCGTTCAACTTCTTGCAAAGCCAGCTGCAGTACCCTTAGAACCCCCCTCCCGTCAAGCTTCGGCCTCTGAAAGCTCCGGCACCCGTGGACCATCTTGAAACCACAGGAAAAACTTCAGGATCCGCGTGCACCAAAAAAACACAGCCCTTTCTGCTAAACCCATGGAACTAAACCATGAATAAACCATGAATCGGGAACCAGCGAAAAGGAGCCCGGCCTCCCTTCACTGCGTTTCGGCGGGATTCGCCGATTCTCCGAACATCTCGAAAGCTTCGGAAACTTTTTTGCACTTCTTCGGCTTTGCGTCTAAGCGGCTCTGTGTGTCTGGCATGGAGTCTCTGGGGCTCTCAAAGGCACGGGCGTTGGCGGCGCGGACGGCGCGGAGCTCCTCCCGCAGCTCCTGGAGCTGCCTCCAGATGCCTGGGGGCGAACCCAGCCATCTTCATATGGAAGGCATATTTATACACATATATAGAAGCATCTTATAAAGCGATTGTTCCAGGCGAGAGGCGCTCTCACCTGTGTTCAAAGTTTCGGCTGAGGAGGGAGCCTACAGAGTCCTAGAGCTTTTTACATTCTCATGGAGCTCCTCCTTTCCTGCAGAGCCTGGCTACGGGTTTCCCCTTGTCCAGTTTGGCCATCTTATTCAGCCGGCGTCACTTCCCAAACTCAAGCGGCTCTTCTCAACCCCAAGCCCCTGAACAAAACCTGGTGCTTGCACGCGGAGCGTCCGGGATGGGTCCTGGGGCTTGCTAAAGTCTCCACCGCCTGCCAAAGTTCTGCGGATGGTGTCGTGATCAATGTGCCGCAACTGACCACAGAAGCCTTGAGCATCCTAAACCGTGCAGATCAAGTCCGAAGATGTGAGCCCAACCAGGCTTCGAAAAGGCAATATAGGTTTATACAGGGCTCAAGGCTGACTGTTGGCGGCTGTTCGGAAGGAACCGCGGGCTTTGGGGCTTAGGAGTCGTGGCATCATGTCCAGTATCTGGGGAGCGATCAAAATCGCATCAGCAAACGCCAAAGGCCCCAAACCCTCAGTGCATTTAGTGCGGCCTGTGGGGGCGGCCCCCAGCCCTTTGTCAAGTCGTCCGGCGCGCAGCAGGTCTGGGCAGGGTGGAAGCAGTGTACGCAATGGACGCGATGAGGCTCGGTTGCAGCTGACTTTGCACGAGAAGCCATAAAAAGAGCATAGACTCTCACAGACGGCAGCCACCTCAAACGTCCATACTCCGCCGAAGCATTCTCTCCGTCCACGCGGGAAGCCTGTGACAGAATGGAAATGTTGAAGGGCTCTTCGAGGTTTTCTTTGAGCGGTTACCCTGCTTTGACTGGAGGCCGAGTAGCGTACTTTCTGGAGTGTTGTTGCAGTGTTTGCGTTTCTGTTGCTGCTTGGGGGAGTTGAGAAGGAGAGGGGCGAAAGGAACTTGCAAACCCAACCCCACAATCAACAGAGCGCCCTTCCAACCCCAACCATTACAAAGGCCAAGGTGCGGGGATCGCAGCAAGCCTTGGCCAGGGGGTTGCGGATCTGCTCACTCTACCCCTCCCAAAAAGCAAGGGGGGAAAAACAACTCTCGTCTCTTGCTGTCACTTATTTTGCCCCCTCCGACTTCTCCCACCTTGCAACTGGTCTCTGTGGACCGAGCACGCCGGTCCCAACCTCAGCGGCTAAGACGTCTGGATTGTTGTGACGTCGGACTTCACGATTCCCGTTAAGTTTCAGGAGGCTTCAGGATTCGGAGCTTCGTACGCCTTCCAGGTTTGAATTCTTGGAGGTGGCCCCAGGCCCCTGCGAACAGGCAAGGCCCATCACCACTCCATGACACAGATTCTGTTTGCATATCAATGCCACATGCGCCATGCAAGATCCATGGCACTTCGCCAGAGATAACAATGAATCCCTGCAGTAGAATGCGGAGTAATTTTTCACTTCCGATGCAAAGTGCAGAACTGCCCCTGCACCGTTTTGTGTGTCCATTGAGGAAAGCGGCAGTGTGCCACCACCGAGCTATGACTGGCCGCGAAGCCTCGCCTGGTGAGTGTGGCAACCAAGCCCTACAGAGCGTGTGTGATTGCGCTTGTGCTGTGACTTCTGCTACGCTGGCTCCACCCTGGCATCTGCAATGAAGCTTCTCCGAAAGATGGCGGCGCAACCACACGAACAGATCATCCAAAGCTCGTTTCGGAGGTTAAAATGCATTCACTCGCTGTTGCTGCCGTCCCCTACATCATCCGCAACCCAGGCCAATCCACAGGTCACAGCCACCCACAGCATGCAAAAAGCCACACTAGATGATCTTCTGGCATCCCTACAAGAAGGAAGAACGGAAAGGATGCCCCAAAGCCCAAAGCTGGGGCCCGAAACAAGTGGTCTTCTTTTGGCAACATCATCCCCCTCCAATATCGCCACTAATATCTGGACGAATTCTCAGGAGTCCAAGGCTATGCTTGGTAGCCAGATCCAGGATTTGCCCAAGGAGCTGCAGAGGTATGCAGCGACGCAGGTCGGCAGGCAGCAAGCCTCGAATGAAAATAAAAGAAAGGCAAACATTAAACAACACAAAGGGGTGCTTTAGATGAGAGGCATGTCTCGGAGCAGCCTCCCAACTCTCCGTATACTTTCGGGATGGTCTTTGCCACTCTTGAGCAGGCCCTGTGGTGCTTCGTAAGACATAGCTGACAAGCAGCGCGCTCCACAAGATGCAAGACAGTCCCTTTCTGACCTGACGCCGGAACATTCTAAATGTGCGGCACTGCCGTCCAACACCACCATAAATTAAGCCAGACAGTTCGCCATCAACCTGGTCCTCGTGCAAGCTCTTAGGAACAAAGCTTTGAAACAGAAATGTTGCTTCGGCTCCTTCATTCGAACTACAAGCACCCCAAAGCGCCTTGCAGTGAACCTGCAACGTTAGAAGCCTGTACTCCATGTACCCCTATAAGATCAGTCTGAAACCCCCTCTCCGACCATGGGGCTGCGCGGCTTAGGCCGGCTCCGGCCGGCCCAGCGGGGGGGTGGTGGAGCCCCAGCTGTGCGGGGAGGTCGCAAAGGTGGCCAGACCTCCGCCTGCCGGGCTTCTTGGTAGGTTGCTGCTTCAGTTTGTGGGAAGCCAATTGTTTCTAGAGTCTCGAGGGCTTTTTGATTGGAGCCTCTTTGTTGTCTCAAGCCGAAGAGGTTGGGGGGCTCCCGATATTCCGCGGGGGGAGCCGAAAATGTACAACTCCAGGTAGGAAGACTAGACGAGAGCATGGAGGGAACGAAGGCTGGAATGATTTGTTGTGGTTTGGCGTCTTGAGCGAGGTTGGGGGGATCAGGATCCGAGGTTCCGCAGGATGGGGGTTAGGGCCAAGGGGTGAAAATAGGTTCAGTACCTGCGAACGGCTCGAGCGATACGAGCTCCCCGTGTGCCTCGAACTCCAGCCAGCTTCTCGCATACTCCTTCATCGCGAAATCGCAACGTGCACTTTTGTTCAACCCTAAGAAGGTCTGACTCTAACATGCTCTATTTGAACTTCCAACCCGTCGGTCTATATTGGTGCCGGCCATCGGCCTATCAAGTGCAACATGCAGCAGACCAGCGGTGCACGCTTAGCCATCCAGCAAGCTTACAATAGCCGTGCACGCAGCAGGGCACCTCCAGATCCTCCACGTCAAAGGGCCAGGGCGTGGCATCCAAGCAATCCTTGGCCTCAATTGGAGGTATCTCGTTTGCATTGAGGGCTCACAAAAGCATGTGACCATCCTGTGCGTCTGGTCAGAGAAGGCAGCGGGAGTCAGCACCTACAGTAGAGGGTTGGGGGTTGGGGGCTTGGTAGGTACTTACGGCTTCTGTTGAAGGTAATCTAGCGAGCTTCAGGCACCATAGTGCTTCTGCCCAAGTTCGATTGTTGCTGCAGTTGCCCAAGTGGGCTCCTTCGATCCTGAGCGCTGCTCCCCTTTTGCCCTTACATTGGCCTTGTAAAGAAGCAGCCGCATGCGCCGCGCTCGCCGCGCGGATTGCCGCAGGAGCTGCTCTGAGGTTGGGAATGCGAAGCTGTAGTACAACCTTCGTAGTCTGTCGAGCATAAAATGAATCTGTCAGGTTCGGTGGTAGATGTCCCTTACAAATGTCATGTTCCGAGCCGGTGGGCTTTATTTATTATGGACTGCGAAGCCCGAAACGCACCAACTATCCCAAATCTTCAAGGCCTGAGGTTTGACCATGGCTTCAGATGTGCGTTAGGAGCTACGAGAGGGGTCTTCAAATGCAACTTCAGCGTTTTTGCTCGTGAGCTTCAGAGGTCGTTTCGGCAGGCATCAGCGGGTCTTGGAGGCCATGGCCCACAGCATGAACATGTCGTGCTGCCGAGAATGAAAATCCATCCATCCTCGTTCCTGATTTCCATGCACACGGCCTTTCAATTCCTCGAAACTTTTCTCCTCATCCACTTCCAAATGTTGCCTATCCCTCTGAGAAATTGCCTCTCTGGTGCAGTCACGGAACGAGCACAGCAAGTCTGTGGCCAGCGTCCCAGGCACACAGAGCGTTTCGACTGATCAGGAAGGTCGGCAACATTCGGCAACCATATGAACTGGACGGTACATACAGGGGTGCTTTTGCCCCTTCACGAAGTATACGGGATCTCAGGTCGCACGTGAGTCAAACAAAAGAGGCGGTCGTTTTTTTCGTATAGTCAGTGTCGTCTTTTGCCATGGTGCACAACTTGCTTGCGGCAAACAAATCCGGCTATCCCGCAAGCATCGCCTGACTCCTTCAACGAGGACTTACAGGGCCGGCCTGTCAGCAGCTCAAGCAAAGAGGGCTCACGCCGGCAGAGCCTGGCAATACTTTTCATTGCTTTGCAAAGTCGGAGAATTGTGGAGGTTGAAGAGAATTAATTGGGCTCAAGCTTTGAGACGAGGCAAGTCCAAGTCCACCGTGCTTCAAGCAAGCTTGAAGATTCCGACTTTAAGAAGCTTTTGTGAGGCAAGAGATCTTTTGCGTGCCTGGAAAGGCAGAGGATTCTGTAGGATGCTTACAGCTTGTTCTGCTGCGAGCAGCCAGAAATACAATGGAGCCGCACGCAAAGGTAGGCAGATCAAAGCAAGAATCGCATACAATCGCATACATGCTGCCTGCACTCAGACTCAAGTCTTCGGAAACGAGTAGGGTGCGCTGACCGAACACGTGCACAAAGACAGTGACTTCGAGCACGAGGCTTCATGGAGCCTGGAAACCCCGAGCTGCCTCTCTTTCTGCACAAGCTTCTCCAGCAGCTTCCAGGACGGGGAGCTTGCTCGGCTGGCGTTGCCTTCAGTGGGGTTTCGCGGGGGCCTTACTGCCCCCCGACTGAAAAGGAACAGACATTGGGCGTTCGGCGTTCGGCTTTCGTGATTCGTGCCAGGCTGCTTGGGTGGGATTGCGAAAGCAGAACAAAAGCGGTCAAAGAGTGGTCTGCCAACTGGCTTGTCAAAGGGCTTTGGAGAGCGGTGTACTAAGGCAAAGGCAAAGGACTCCAGGCCTTTTTGCTTCGAGGTTCGACCTTTCTGTTCACTTTCTACAATGTCCACTTTCTATCCGCTTCTGTACCCACAAGCATCCTCATCATGTGGACATGTCTGTGGCCCTTATAACTCTGCCACTTCGCTGGTCTCATCGCGGGCGAGCATGGACTTTCCATCTTCTGCAGAGCCCAGAATTCGCGGTAAGTCCTCCATGGATCTCAAGGGCTTCAGACTCGGCATGGAGATCAAAAAGGATCTGACCCTCAAACCCTAAACCTCGCAGAACACAAGGATGCCAACATTCTCACAACTGAGTCGACTTCGAAGACGGGGTCTCCAAGTCTGGGGATCAACGAGGGTTTGGCTTCCATGAGCGCATGATGTGCCCGCATCTTGGGTTCCTGAACAACCCCGAAAACACTCGAAAACATCGAACTGCCCAAAGCTCCATGGCGTCCTCCACCAGGTGGAACCACCAGTTGTCCATCCATGTGCATTTGCAGTAGAGAGTGGCCGCCTACCGTGCTTCAGGGGCGGAGGTGTCGGTTCTTGTGTCTTGGCTGCGGGGTCGTGGCTTTCTGGATGTTGTCTTACAGGATCGACGAGCAACGGAGATTTTCGGCTGCACTAAATGTTGCTGGGTGCCATGGCTGAACCATCCGAACTATCTTGAGGCATTGGGGGTGGGGCCTTTTCTGTTCACCCGATGTGCCTTTCCATCCTCCTGGGCCGTGAGCATCGGCGCTGCCAGGAGGAAGAGGAGCCAGCCTCCCCGGAGCCCTGCAGGCAGAGTTTGAGCATTCAAGGTTCCATGGTGGTTCCTGAACAACATACGGCCCCTCGATAAGAGAAACCCTGTCACGAAGAGACAGAAGGCATGGATACCTAACTTCCTGCATCGCCCCCGAACACCTTTGAACCCGGTAAACTCCTTACGAGTGTAGCTCCCGGATTGTTAGCCGACGCACCTCCCGCCATGGCCACATCATGGGGCTGGAGGATGGGGGAGGACGGTTAGGACTGTCCCACACAGAGACGCCTCGAGTCGGTTCAGTCTTAAACATGGGGCTCAACAGAGGTGGAGTTGGCTTGGGATGGCTTTGGGAGGTTTAGAGTTTTGGGATGGGGCATCGCTTGAAGTGGCTCCATGTTTACAGCTGCGAAGTCCTGTGAAGTGTCAGGGACCATGCTTTGTGCGGGTTGAAAGCTGAGAGGGAGCTGCCGAGCCAGCTATGAACAGCGAGAGGCCAAACTGTTTGCGTCAAGCCAGTCTTGATATCCTCAAATGACTACATCCCTCGAAAGTCAACACCCGTAACGTCGACTAATCTCCGACTCTACCTCCTAGCAGACTAGCAGATGGGACGTATAACATCTGATTCTGAGGGCGCTCGGGGACCAAGCCCTTTTCCACTGTCGGGCTCTCATCCCATGGCGGCAGCTCGGCGCCATCGTGGACCGTCCACACATCAACTGCAAAGGCACTCGCCCTGACAGGCAGGTGGGAGGTCTGGAAGCAAGAGCGGGCATGGACATGATGAGAATCGTTGCGGGCACAATCTGCCAACTGGAGTTAACTTGTTGATTGAATTCAAGCTCACATGAGATGCTGTCCCATGCGTACGATGGTAAGCTTCCAATCCTCAGCCCAAGCTGCATATCTTTGGGCGTCACGTGCCACAAGGCCTCGCGCAGGTCCTAGGCGCTTGTTCCCCCAACTCTGTCTGGACTTTCTTGGGCTTGGTTGGGCCTGGTTGCAGAGCACTTGAACAAGACCTCACAGATCGAACGCACACCTCGCATCAAAGCTCACAAGGCCTGAAACATGAAATTCCATGTCACCTGGCTGTGGGTCTTTGAAGTTCTTAGGTGTGGAGCATGGGTGCTACCAGTAGGGGCTAGGACGGAATGTTGAAGGGCTGTCGTCGGTGACTTGAAACTATTCTCTTGAGCTTCCCCTTGAAAAGCAGCTGAAGCACCGCCGGCAGAGCCACTCGAGCGATCTGCTCCGCACCCCGAGCATCCTGAAAGCCCAGGCCTCTGCGGTGGTATAGGCACATAGGATCACGTAGGCCTACACTGGGGCCCTAGACTCGCCTAACGACTTCCTCCCTTCCCATCACCACTGAAGTCTTCAGGCCACACGCTCTTTTTGTTTCGCCACCAAACAAGACCAACCAATCAGACTGACATTTACAAGCACCTGCATTCCTAGCTAGTTGCACCGTTTCGGCTGTAAGGGTCTGTCTGGGGCTCTGGGGCCCGTCTGAGCAAATACTCCTAACTAAGATGCTAAGAACCTTTGTTTCACCAGACTCTTTCTGTATTGCGGGGATTCGCTCTTTCCGCATTCACGCCAATCGACGACAATCGACGGGCGGGAACCCTAAACTACAGCAAATTACAGCAATCAGCCAGGTATGGGACCCCCTTCCAGAGGCCCAGGCTGTAGCGATGGAGGAAATTGCGCTTGCACCAGCAGATGTCCGAGGCATAGACACGCTCCACCTTGTTTGCTCACCCGTCAGACTCCTATTTTGCATCTTCCTGATTGCTCTACAAGATTGCAGGTGGCCAACATATGTATGTCTGCGTGCATATTCCGGAAGATGCTTTCGCGACACGAGCACAGTAACCCAAGCCGAGCAGCGGTGTAGCGACGATCGCTCACCTCGAGACATGCTCTGTGGTGCTCTCGGATTGCGGGGCACAGAATGTCATGTTCTGGTGTGGTCCTTCGCTGTAGATTTGTTAATGCCGTAAAGTATTTTAAGACATTTTAAGTAAGGGCTTCTAAACCACCATGGAACATGCCGGGTTCCATCTGCAAGCAAGATTCCGTCGGATGTCCGACGGAAGCAGACTGTACTCGGATCCTTCGGCTAGTCTGGACAGGAAGGCCACGCAAGAAACAGTTGCAGTTGAATAGCTAGTTTCCTCCGCACGGCGGAGTCCTCTACAACAAGAAACAGCAAAAACAGCCAAGGCCCTTCGACTGATGAAGGAGCAGCGCATGCCAAAGATCCAGCTTCAACCCAACATCGGAAGCCCTTCATAGCTCTACATCTGAAGCTTCAGTATGCACAAACTCCAATCGCTTAACCAGATCTGGGTGCTGATGCCGCCGCCCGGAGTCAATCCGCAAAGCTGTGATCGTAAGTGGCCTGTGCAAGTGCTTCTAGGGAAGGGCTTTCTTAGGGTTGACACTTGACGCCCTTTTTTTGCATCAGGCTTGTTGGGTGCACGCCTGGACGGAAGCTGCTCATGTTCACCTACTTTTGTATGCGCACGACTAAGCTTCAGGTAGCTTTTGACACCCTTAAAACCCGAAGCCTAAGTCGTTTGTGCTGCTAGCCACCCAAACCGTTGTTCTTTGATCGATATCAAATGGAGATCAAACTAGCAGGATTTAACCACAGTGATCCCCTAAAGGACTCCTAGGAGTCCTGGCCTTGATTAGGCTCTTGGTGGTGCTTTCCGTTCTGATTACTGCTAGTCAGGCTGGGCGCTCTTCAACTTCTGTATTTCCTGGAAGAGATGTTCCCTGCCGTTGGGCTGCTACGTGTACCACACATGCACTTCATCGGCAGGGTCCATGCAACTATCATGTCAGTCCTGTCTCTCAGCTTCAGCCAGGCGGCTGGTGTGGCTGCGCGAAAACGTAGCCGCTCACGCGCCTGTAGCTCTGCGTCTCAGCTTTCAAAATTCAACACAGTTGTTGCGCAGGAGCCGAAGGTTGCGGGGAGAGGACGAGGGAGACATCGACCCACCGCTGCAAAAGATCAGGCGCCCACAACGTCTGACATACCGGAAAGTTGCTCTGCAGTAACAAAATTTTGGTTTAGTTACGCCCATTCAGTCACGCTGCACACGTGTGGAGGTGGCTTTGCCTGTGAAGGACAAAGCGTCCGCTTGGGAACTTTGGGACTTTCTGAATTTGAGAGCTTATGATGAGAATGATGGAGCAAGATGCAAGATCCAAGGTTTTCAGGCTCGGGATGCTCATGCTTTGCCTGCCTTCGCTTGGCCTGGTCTCCTGGGAGCCGGGACAGCTTGAGTGGACCAGCCCTCGATACGTAAAGGTGACTATTCAATCGTCCGTAAAGGCCCGCTGAAAACGAACTGAACTCGCGTAGGCCGTAAAGCATTCATGCGTCACCTCCACGTTCGCTCACGCTGCTTCTTGCCGACCATGTAGCATCGACGTCCTTCTACATTCAGGGAGGTTAAAGCAGCTGGGACTTATCCTCACTGTCTGGCCTTCTTCGGCTCTACTTTGGGGCACATTGTCGGCAATTGTCGGGCCTCGGGCCCGACGTTGCACTTGAGGTGAAGCGGGTTTTCTTGTCTCGTATTGACATGCTGTAAACCCAACCCTCTTGCTGCTTCGGCTTTACCACTGGCATGATCCTATACAGCTCTAGCAGCACAGTCCCGAAGTTCCCTACCCAAAGCAGACAAAGCTTTTTTGCGCTCCCCAAACCATGGGCCTTGTCCAAGTAAAACTGAAAGAGTGCCCGGGTTGAGGCCAGAAACCCATGTTGCAAAACCACATAGTCGCGGGACATGAGGCCACCTGGTTCAGACAGATAGCGCAAAATCTACAACTTATTTCGGCAAACTGCCACTGGAATGGAATTCGTTGGAATTATTGTGATATGTATGTATGTCTCTTTCTTTGTCTACAGCACAAATGGATACACATTGGTTGATATTCGTAATCGCAATATCGCTAGGCAGGTAGAGGACTACGCTAGGCTCAAGGAAATGGTACACGAGTCCCCAACATCTTCAAGTCAGCAGCGTGTGAACACAAAAGTGTACCTATGTAGATATATATTTACTTCTTGCAGAAAACTCTTGTTAAGCAAAGCATGAACGGATAAGAGAAGGGGACCCCGCGAGGATGCCCTTGAGTGACGAGGCGCATGCTAACTGTCTGAGTAAGTCGAAGTATGCATCGTAGGTCTTTGCTGCCAGGATCAAGCCGGAGCTTGGCACATCCAACCTGCAGAGCAAGTGCAAATTCACATTGAAGGCGTGTTTCTTCGTCACTGCAGCCCGCCTGTGCAGAAATCCGTTCTTGCATCGGCGGTCAGCAAGAATTGGAAACTTCGTACCTGGACATGCTCACGGTTCAAGGTTCAGGGCAGGAAAAGCAGCAAAGACCAATAAACTAAAGCAAGGCCATTATGCATTATTATGCACGCACGCATGCATGCATGCATGCAATCCATGTGCATATGCTTTATCTTCACACACTACTTAGGTGGCAGTGCAGTCAAATTTTTCTGCTGCTTCAACGACAACCAAAGCTTCAGTTGAGTCTTTCGAATGTTTCCGGGGGCTGACAACATCTCCTGCACACATTCTTCGGGGCTTGTGCTCGACAGCTATCCAGGAAGAGCCAGCCCAACAAAGAAGGCGCACTGGAGAAAGTGGAAAGCATGTAGCTGGAGAGCATCTCCTGCAGGCATCTGTGGACCAGGCCTTCGACAACCTACATCCTCAATCAAGAAGCCCCTGCATCTCGGAGATCCCAGCATTTTAGCCTCCCGACAGGACAAGCCCTAAGTAATTCGGCTTCCCAAACCTTCACAGCCTCTTCACAAGGAAAGCTTCCTCAGCGCCTTACAGGCCCGATTCGAGTTGGGCTTTCCTTCGCGAGGAACGCAGGTTGGGGCTATCAGGTTTTGGCCCAAGGCTCTCGCGCAGAGTGCTCTGCTTCGATGAAGTCAGCCTCGTCACCCTCCTTGGGCTTCAGCACTTTGGAGGAATGATGAGGATTCAACAGGCAGGCGTATCTCCATTGAGCATCGGACACGGTAACTAGGCACAGGTGCTCACTTTGCCCAAGCTCAGTTCCATGCTCAAGGCGCCGCACGCGCAAGCTCCATCCGAAAGAGTCAGAAATGATAAAATGGTTGCCACGGCTCGGTGTCCACCTGCCACTGCGGAGGCTTCAGCACGACACACCG